AGCTTCTACTGTCTATGCTGGCTGTGGGATGGAACACCCCACTGGTGAATCTTGGGGTCAGTTATTCTGTCCGCTCCTCCCGCAGGTGCGGGGTGCTCTCTGCCCCCCTCTGTGTGGGATCCAAGTTCAGCAGTGGCACTTGGTCACCAACCCCTGGCAGTAACTCTAAACATGAAGTCTTATCACTGCTACAGCCAGATAGTTTATGAAAACGCTGCTAACTCAGACAGAGCAGTTTAATTAGAGGAACTTTAGCTAAAAAGTAAAATCACAGAGCAGAACCCCAAACAAGGACACCCATAAAAGCCACTAGACACTGAAATTAAGAAGTTAGACTGGTAGCATGAGTTACATTTGTAAGAATGCAGTAGAATTCAGTGAAGTAACATCACAGACTCATTAAAGTTGGAAAAGACCAAGTCCAACCATTGATGAATATGATATATTATATCCCAATCGATTAATATTTTCTTGTATTAATAACAGATCCTCTGGGCAGCTGTAGCTAGGGCAGAAGGGTGTGTCAACAGCAATAAAAGTGCAAAGGATTTGTTTTTGCAGTGGTACAAATCTTAAAGCTGATTTAGCAGCATTAATTCCACAAAGATCTGACTTTATACATTCAGTCTTCAGGAATGTTTTGCCACAGTTTGTGAAGCTAAAAATTAACAGATAAGTAGTAACCTTTAGATATTACTAAAATAATCCTCTCAGACTTTAATAGTGCAAGCTATACTAATTTATATATTGGCCAGTACTGAAAAAAAAAAAAAATCAGAAAAATCCACGAGTACTGCTCACAAAAAGCCTATCTAGAGGAATGAAATTCTACTGTGTAGTGTCTGATTTGGCTTTCAGACTTCTCAGTTCTGGCAGTAGCACTTAAATGCATTTTTGTTTTGAGATCTATGCTCAAAGCCTGCTCTATATAAGAATTGCATGAAACGTAAAATAAATGCTTATAATTAAAATTTCATTATTGGAATCCATACAGGGTAGGTGGCTTTATGCATTGTTGGCATGCCTTGAAAAACCTTTGCTACCTGAAGCTCACTCCCTTATTCGACAGCTGGCAAGACGATGCTCCGAAGTCAGACTACTGGAGGTGAGATTTAATATAACATTGTGCAAAGGACTTGCTGAACTTAAAAATTTATTAGGAGGATGATTTTTTTTTCAGTTCTTGCAAGTCTTAGTAGGTTTTCACATCCTGAGGTTGCAGGAGAACGAAGGGAAGATTATGAGCATGTAACACAATGTGTAACAACTTTTCTATTTGACACAGTTAAGAAGGGAATTGTTGTAATAATATTTCTTTTTCAGGAGAACAAGTATGAAGAACAGATATCAGCACTGAACTTGATAATCTGTTTAGTTAGCAGGTAATGTAATTTACATACCTAAACCAGTAAAGTATGTCCAGAATAAATGTGATTAGCCTTGCCCTAACCTAGATTCTTTCAAAGTAGAAGTCAGTTGGAGTATGGGGCATATATAGCAAATACACGTAGCTAAAAGGACTTAAGATAAACCTAAGAGTAAAATAAGCTTATATTGGTTTCCTCAGATAAGCCCCCTGAACTGGAAAGCTGTAACGATGATAGAAACAGTAAAAGAGCTAGAAGACAAGGGGTCTAACAACCCAGAGTAGAGCAAGGGGTACGTTGCATTAGACTTTTCTCACCCTCTTTCACTTCTCTCCACGAGGTACTTTGATCAGCGTGACCTGGCCGATGAGCCGCCCTAGGCTGCTGCGGGAACGTGGGGCGTCCTGCGCTGCCCTGGTGCAGAGGGCGTCACCGGAGGGAGCAGCGAGACACTGCTCGGTTCAGACCCGAGCCACTCCAGAGCCCCCTCGTAGCACCCTCACAATCCGTTTGGGACAGCTGTGAATAACTTCAGCTGAGCTTTAGCATGAGATTGTCAGTGTCTCCGATACCATCTTCATCATCATCAATGTAAAACAGTCAATGAACCATCTGGTGTCATCCCTCAAGCTACTCTCTCTGTAAACTACATTCTTGGTTAGCGATTTCTACCACCTGAGTAATCCTGTGTGCACTGCAATTCGGTGAAGTCTGAGGTTATATTACAAATAGTTGTTTATCTAGCACACACCTACTGAGGGCTTTTTTAATAAAACTGAAGCATTTTAAAGAGTGTTCTTAAACATTGGATTTTATTAACATTATTTTAAACATTCTTTTCTCATCCTTCATACTATTAAACAGCCGTCTTGGTATAGAAATCGACACAGATAGGAGAATGTTTTTTCAAGCTTTGGTTCCTCAGCTTAAGCACTGCTAAGAAGTTCAACTATAGTCAGTTACTGAAACAATTATTTTAGTAAAACATAAATGTTACTACTTCCTGAGTAGTAATACAATATTTTAGTAAAGAGTTGAAGCAACTCTTCACACAATCCATGTGTGAAAATTACACAGCTGTATTCAATGTTTTTAATAGAAACATTTATTCAACAGAATGAACAAAGTTATTTTCTGTACTGTGTCTTGACAAATACATGAGCTATTTATATATTTAATGTGGAGCACTTTGCCAACAGTATCAGCACCTGCTTGGTACATACATGACTCTAGTTGTAAGTATCTTCAGCAATTAAAAATCCATATTAAAAAAACTATGAAGTCTGCTGATAGCAGCAAATCAATACACATCTAACATCTGCTTTCTGTATATTGTAGAATTTAAGTCCTTCCCCTTGCTATTAAAAGTAATCATTAACCACAACCAGTTACTGATAAACCTTTAATACAGCTTTGAATGATTGGCACTTCTGCATTTGAAATGGTCATTGTAACCATCATGAAAGATCTAAGATAATTACAGTAACTACTAGAGTTTAAAATTCTGGAGCTGCAAGCAACAATGCCTATGTTGCTTGTCTTGCTGTATTCAGACAAACTGAACGTCTGCCACACTTCAGATGCCTAAAATGTGGTGACATTGAAATGTCCACCTATGAGACATAAAATGCAAGTTCTCTCTAGTCTCTTCAGTAACGTTTTCAGCATATTGAAAGCAGGAAGAGTTGGCAACTGAAGAACACATGAAATGCAATAATAGTTACTAGTTAGCTAATTCTATAGCCCTACAATATCAAACAAATCTGAGTTATAAATGTGAATGACAACCACAGCCTTCCCATAAACTACCAGTGTAAGAACCCAGCATTTTCAGTCAAACAGCTGATCCCCATTGAGTACCATACTACTGTAATTATTTCATCTTTCCTAGTTTTATGAACAGTGGGACAACATTCTGCTAGCTTGAGTTCTGCTTTAGGTGTTGCCTAGAGCAGAAGTTACTCAGCTACAACTAACCTGAACTAGCATTCACAGTACCTGAAATGATCAGAATTTTGTCACATCTTAAGCTCAGGTATAATAAAAACCTGCTTATCACATTTATCATCTACAGCTGGTAGATGATACCAGCTCTCTAGAAAAAGGCTTGATCCATTACAAACAGCTCTTTCAAGAAGAACTCGGGGAAGAACAGCTTGCACCCTTGTCACCCACCATGAAACTGGACAACATTGGCTTCTCCCAACACAGAAGATAGTTAGACAAACAGAGGTGCTATTTTAACATGTTAGCTTTTCTAGTCACCCTACCATTTACTGGTCTCAAAGTAGAAACTAAGTCACTATCATGAGAAATTCTTACACTTCTGAATACACACCCTATGTTTACTATCTTGATTCATTTAAAATATAAGGTCTGAACCTGCCAACAGCAAAGTCCTACAGCAAAATTCATTGAAAGTTTTAACAAGATGTTTTCATGCTTACCTACAGCAAGATATGTATTGTTATGCAACTCTTGTAACAAGCTGTAACTAGCAAACCCAAATGTCCTCTAGAGTCTTGGTGATGTCTTTAAAGCTTCTTACAGGCCTAATCATCTTCCTGCATACATCCACTACAGAAGGGAGTTGTAGCCAGCAATTAGAAACAATTATGTTAATACCAAATTTATGCACAACAAGCTAAGACAAATTTCCTTCTTTGGCCAGTATAGATGAACTTAGCCATAAAATTATTCTGACTATCATTATGGCTGCTAATTTTAGGGAGGTAGGAGACACTGTCTAACTAGATAGATGTAAGCTCTCTTTCCTACTGCCTTGTAGCACTCCTACAAAGAACTAAGCCTCCACTGAACACTGGGAATGGAGGCTCTGGGTCCATGTGCTAATGGCTTCCTCAGCAGCATAGAAAAGCAACTGCTGCCTCACAGCTCAGAGTGAACAGGCACAGGCAGCAGCTGGACACTCCTGTGAGGTGACACGAAACATTAGTTTCTTATTCCAGTTTAGTCTCGGTCAGGCTTTTAACCCTCTTCTCAAAAGGTGCCTCTGGTCTTCCACGTGTGCTATTTTGGCAATTTAAATGTTTTGCTGAGAACTTTTGAGTAGACAATTTTAACCATGTGGACATTAATACCTTGGTATAGGAAAACTTTCATACCAAGATACGAGGATAGCATCCAGTTGTTTTGATGAGTATTTATTCTATATTTTGGAATTGTGCTGCACACTGATGTAATTTACAAGCTACATACAAAGGTGAACCAAGATACTGAATTCACACAGAAAAGATTTTTGAAGTAGATACCCAGATTTGAATGTGCTCTATATCTTCTGTATCATCACCTGAAATTTGCCTGCAAAGAAAAAGCAAAGTCGGATAAAAAAAAAAAAAAAAAACAGCAAAGTCAGTATCACCATTAGTGTTATTTTTCTAATTATTTTCTTGTAATCATTCCATTAAAAGAAATAGTAAGGAATATTTCAATCTTACAGTCTAATTGTGAACAATCTAGCCTTTATGTAAATTTAGCATTTAAATTTAACTCCAGATGAACAGCTTTTTATTTCTTTTTTTTTCTTTAAGTTGATCCATGTCCTACATCACAACAGTTTTATTAGCTAAATTTAAAATTTGTGCAGTCTTTGGAAATTTTTTGAATCCACTTTAAGTATCTTTGGTAGTTACAATTGACTTCACTTACTAACCTTAATGATTCTGTGGAGAAAGAACATGTATCTAATTGTTTTTATCTTCACTTGTTCGAATAGCCTTCTGGACATACATCTTTATCCATTTGATGCTTCCAAAAGTAAATACAACTTTTTCGTTTTGCTTTCCACTCAGTATCATGGAGGTTAACCCTCTGTTGGTATTTTTTACACAGTAAAGCAGTTAGTGACAAGCCATATCCTGAAGTTCATATGTACTTGAATGGCCCAGAAGCTTCAAACTGATCTCACTTTGATAAATACTTATACTGTGAAGAAGTCAGTAAGGGAAGTTACCAAGTGAGATAATAATTGAACTCTGAGAACTACTTACATGCAGGCATTGATGAAACTTCAGCTGTTACAATACTCTTTATTCCCAAATTCGACAGGCCTCCTCTGATTAGTCCACAGGTAAATGCTAAATACTAAATATAAAGTTGCACTTTAAGTAAGTGTCAAGGATGAAGCTTGTTGCTAAAGACTGAAACTAAGTACTCAAGAACAAGAACCTAACACTTGGACAATATGAAACAGTGGAGGTTTTGGTACCATGTTTGAGAGACTGTGTCTAGTAGATTAAAGCTCAGATGTTTGGCACAGTGGAGCTCACAATACATATTTCTATGACCATTTCTTAACCCATAATTCAAATCCACTGTTCTGAAACAAGGTGTTTCTAAAAAGTACAGGTTTTGGAGACTAAACTTTAGCTGCCCTTTTGAAGAGTTTGTATCCACTAAATTGCAAAATTTAAAGTTATTATTAGTAGATCAAGATAATTCAAATAAAACTGTTAGATCCCAAGGATAAAACTGAAGGGTACCTTTGGTGCATGTTCTAAATACTGCTTTCCTGCAGACATTTGTGTCAAGAGACGGAATTTATTGTCTTGAAGGACATAAATACCCTGTATTAAAAAAAATAATTTTAATTGAAAATGCAGTAACATGTAATCAACATTTTATGTGAAGGGATTTATTTGCAGACACAATATAAATATTCTCAGGTTGAAAACCAAAATTTTAGATTATGGCATTTAAGTTTAAACTATTATTTACTTACAGGAAATATCAAAATGAAAGAAAAGATACGTAATTGTGAGTTTACAACAAACCCCTTAAATAATATACGATCAATTAACCCTAAAAAAATGTTTATTTACAATCTTCTTGGAAGAGTCCTTCCAGTACTCAGAAACAAGAGTTCCATGTTAGAAAGTCTTTGTTAATATACCAAATGCATGCTGATTTTTGCACTCAAATCTTCATCTTCATTTGGTATGCAATTCACTACTCCTTCTCAAATTCAGTAAGAATTATCTTCCTTAGTAGCAATACATGCAACAATACCCAGAAGATAATCAAATTAAGTCTAGAGTTTCCTGCATTACAATTTTGTGCCACCATATGTGTTTTAATAAATAAAATAACTATGAACACAGTGTATCTTAATCCACACTTGTAAATTTAATTTCTTCGCTAATGATTATCCTCCTTTATATCTTCACAACCCTTGAAATTAAATTAAGGCTGCACATACAATTGAGACCTAAGCTCAATACCACAGCTATCTTTGACTTCAAAACAGATTTCTAAGCTGATTATTATCGATTAAAGTTATTACTTGATAAACAGCTCACTGAAAAATAAAATCTATTTTATTTGGTACAAATAAACTTGTACAAATTCTGTTGTTACTACT